GATCCCTTACTTTCAAGCTGTTGAACATATTTTAAAACTTAATGACTTGAGAACAAAATAACTTAATTTTTCTTAATAAGACAGTTTTTAATTTCTGGCCTGAGAACAAGCTTATATATGATATACCACCTTAGCCTTGTGAACTCTTTGAAAGCTGATTGAGATATGACAGTTGTTAGTCAGAAAATGTGGAAATACAGGTACTGAATAAAGAACAGGGGATAAGAAAAACAGTAGAGTAGAAGCATGGGTTTTACTGCTTATGCACAGTCCTATTATTATTTACCAGTTGTCTTGACAAACTCCCACCCAGGTTTTAGCACTGAAGAATGCCATGACCCTAGAGAAAAACTAGCTGTAGAGTATGTGTGTGCATGCATTTTATCCTCACTTTGTCCAGCTTCATGATGTCCCAAAGGAAAATATTTGATGTGCCTGGAGTATTAGGAAGGAGACCTAATAGCACAGTTGTTAAGTGCTTGGGTGGTAACAGACAGGTTGGCAGTTTGAACCCATCAATTACACCACTGGAGAAAGATGGAACAGTATTGTTCCAGTCTTGGAAACTAAAGGGACAATTTTACACTATCCTATAGGACCTCTATCAGTTAGAATCAAATCAATGGCAATGGGTTTAGAAGAGACCAAAAGGATGGCTTCGTGAAGAAAATGAGGATTAGCAAATAATTGAGACATAGATCTTTTCCTGCTGTGAAATATTGAAGTAATTTTATAATTATGAAATAGTGGGTATCTTCTGGGCAGTAAATGTGTTCAACAAAAAGAAAAAAGGGCAATCTGAATTTTCTTAAGAATTCCTGAGAAGAAAAGAACTGAAAAAGAGGAAATTTCTTTGAAAAGAAATTTGACAAAATAGTTTTTCAAAGTCTTTGTGGGTAATTCTTAGTCAAGAAAAGCCAATTTTATTCATTGGCCAAGAAAGTGCTTCCTAGGGGAGTACCATTTCAGGAACAGTGGATAACCCCACTTCATTCCAGTCCTGAAGGGAATGAATTCTACGATTCACTGTTTTGACAAAAATCATAGTCCTCTGTTAACTGAACAGATCTTTGAGTGGAGAAGGTATTATTATCAAGTTTTATCTGAATGCAGATGACTCTTTATAAGGATAGGCTAAGAGAGCTAGAGGGCTTTGGTTTCATAGGAGCTCTAGGAAAGTATTGCTTGGGTTGCAGCCTTTCTTTTTAATTCTAGTTGACAACATTCAAGTCCACATCCCCATGAACTCATGTTAGATTATTGTAGCAGGCTTCTAGATGGTCACTTTACTCTTTGAAGTCCTATACATTATGTATATGAATTCAGATGAGTCCTGTTAAAAAATTGCTTTCTTTTTGTTACTTCTCTAATTACAAACCAACCATAAACATTGAGGGGAATCCAACTTTCTTCTGAATCCTTCCACACTTTTTAAGAATTCTATTCTCAAAACTTTAGGCACATCTTTCATCAAATGTCTCCTTACTAGCAGTTTTATCATATTCTATTCTTACTAATTCTTTTTGAAGAATTAGCACTGGAAAAAAAAAAAAAAAAAAAAGAATTAGCACTGGACTTCTAACTGCAAAGTTGGTAGTTTAAACCCTCCTATAGAAATGCTATACAGGGTTGCTAGGAGTTGAATCTGATTCGATGGCACTTGACAACAATCATTTACTGAAAATTAACAAGCCTGAAACAGAACACCAAAAATTTTCATAAAAATAAGTTCATTTCTGGTTGTATAAATATTACTACTCTGTGATTCAACCAGTCAAAAAGCCTCAGAATTAACCTCTATTCTCATTTAGTTTATTCTCTGTCTACCAAAACAATTTACAAACTGATTTTGTAATTCCGTTTGTAGAATAGCTCTACTCCCAATTCCAGTTTGTTGTTGTTAAGTGCCGTTGAGTTGGTTCCAACTCATAGCGACCCCATATAGGGTTTCCGAGGAGCAGCTGGTGGGTTTGAATTACTGACCTAGTGGTTCGAAGTCCAGTGTTAATACTACAGCACCACACAAGGACTTCACTTTCAGTTTAACACATATTAAATATACCTCTGTTATTCTCATTGTTGGTGGAAAGAGGAAAATTAGTTTGCTTAGATTATTATGACAAGTTTTAATGTAGGCAGTGACTGGAAGATAGAAGACAGCAGTCTTGGCAAAAAAACGAGTTGAGTGGATTCCCTATTCAAGTGGGAATGGATATAGAGAGTAATAGACTTTAATAGAACTTATTTATCTTGAAGGAAAGTCAACAGGTTGGGCTGATACTATACTTGGATGTGTATAAAGAAGAAGAATCTAAGTTTACTCAGAGATTTTGAATTTCACTAACTGAAAATGATGATGCTGTTGAAGCACAGCAGGTAAGAAAAGGAGTGGGTTCAGAAGAATTATTACACATACTGCTTTTGTATAACTTGTATTCTATTTTCAAATCATTTAATATCATAATCATACACATGAAATCTCTTTTCATCATGCAATTGGGTTACATTTAAATCATCTATTTCATGCTGAAATTTAGATTTTAATTAAATTTTTACCAGGAGAAAATATAGAACTATGAACATCTTGTATTTGATTATGGCTAAATGCAAACATGAAAACCCAAGGATGGGAACTCTGACCTGGAGAGCCTGCTGGGAAATATCCGCATTCCCTGATGTAAGGGCCCCGAAAGCATCAATGAGGCCATTATTTTGAATTTGATCTGAAGCATAGTAATGAGTTCCACCTAAAATGTAAATATGATTAATAAAATTGCTTCCTAGAAACAAGTTCTTATTAGATTATACTGTTGTTGTTTTTGTTGTTAGGTGCCATTGAGTCAGCACCAACTCATAGCAATCCTATGCCCAACAGAACGAAACACTGTCTGACCCTGGACCAACCTCACAATTGTTGCCACGCCTGAGACCATTGATGGTGCCACTTTGCCAATTCATCTTGCTGGGGTCTTCCTTTTTTTCTCTCTGACTGTCCACCTTACCAAACATGATATCCTTCTCCAGTGTGCCAACAAATCGGTACCAATTCACAGTGACACTATGTACAACAGAATGAAACACTGCCCGGCCCTGAGCCAACCCCACAATTGTTGCCATGCTTGAGCCCATTGATGCTGCCACCTTGCCAATCCATCTCACTGGGGGTCTTCCTCTTGATACTCTACCTTACCAAACATGATATCCTTCTCCAGTGACTGGCCCCTTCTGATAATATGTCTGAAGTATGAGAGATTAAGTCTGATCATCCTGGCTTCCAAAGAACATTCTGGCTGTACTTCTTCCAACACATATTGGTTTGTTCTTTTGGAAGTCCATGGTACTTCTACTATTCTCCTCCAACACCATAACTGCATCAATTCTTCTACAGTCTTCCTTATTCACTGTCCAATTTTTGCATGCATATGAACTTATTGAAATTACCATGGCTTGGGGTCAGGCACACCTTAGTCCTCAAACGAACATCTTTGCTCTTGAACACTATCAGATTACAGTGATTGTTATTATTGCTGTTGTTAGAAACCATGGACTCAATTATGACTCTATAGGGTTTCCAAAAAACAGCTGGTGAGTTTGAACTGCTGACCTTGTGGTTCACAGTCCAGTGCAGATCCTATGTGCCACACCAGGAGTCTACTAAAGATGATAGCTACCTTAAAACCAAAAATCTGTTATAATCATTTCTTACTCATAGAAATCCTATAGGTAATAGAACTTCTCCATAGTGTTTTCTAAGCTTTACTCTTAATGGAAGCAGATTTTCTTTGTCCTGCAGAATAGTTGGTGGGTTGGAGCCACTGATCTTCTAGAGAAGTCTATCAGATCACTTAACCACTGTTAAATGCTGCTGAGTTGGTTCCAACTCATAGTAACCCTGTATGATCCTGTTTCTAAGGAGCAGCTGGTGTGTTTGAACTGCCAGTCTTGTGGTTAACATTCCAGTGTTTATCCTATAGTTCCACACCAGGGCTTCCTGTGCTACCATGTTGTTGTTGTTGGGTGCCTTGAATGGGTTCCTACTCAAAGTGACCCTGTATAGTGTTTCCAATGAGTAGCTGGTAGATTTGAACTGCTGACCTTTTGGTTCACAGTCCAGTGCTGATACTACAGCACCACACCAGGAGTTAATGCTTAATCTAGAAACTGTTATTAAGATCTGCTCATTCTAAATGGTTAATCTATCTGGCACTCCACAGTCTGTGCTCTGATCTCACTGGATTTCCTGCCATTCTCTGTACAGGTCTAGCACTATCATTGCAACATGATTTGCTCCTGGTCTGATCTTCTTCTACCCTTTTTTCCTCCCAGAGAGATTCAACACTTTGTCAAGGCTCAGCTCAGAAGTCACCTTCTTTGATACTTACTTTCCCTGACTCTGTCCAATCCTGGGAGAATTAATGGCTTCCTTCACTCACATAATGGAGTTCTGGTGTGGCACTGAGGGTTAATGTGCTGGACTGGAAAGTTAATGTGTTGGTTTGAACAGCAAGGTTGGCAGTTCAAGTGCTCCTTGGAAACTCTATACAGGGCCACTATGGGTCAGAATGGACTTGACTGCACTTAACAGCAATAAATAACACTTACATAGAATTTTATTCATAGGTGTTCCTCATTTTATGAGGCAATGCTATATGATTATCTCATCTGATTAGCAGTTTTATTTGTCTCTCCAGCAACTGAATTGTGAGCATCATAACAACACTGATTATGTCTGACTCAATTTAGGTCCCAAGCTCCTGGTACAGAGCCTGCCAGAGCAAGAACTTGGGAGAAGTTGTTGATTTGTCAGCCTTTTTATTTATGCATTATTATTAAAGGATTCAGATCTATAGGTCATATTTACCTGTTATATTGCTCATCTCAATTACAGCTATATCAGCAGATGGCCCCAAAGCAATCAAATGAACGATCGCCTCGCTTTGTTTCACCTCATCCATACAAGAACTTACAGTGCTGTCTTCCCCATCGGTCAGCAGCACTATTTCAGATCCATCTGTTTTTTGGAACCTCATCTTAATCTCCTGAAAATATAATTTAGAGCATTCATTACCAGATACCTAGATCAAATGGATTGGTGGGGAATAAGAAAAAAATTCCAGAGAAAATAAAGTGTGCAGATTAGAAGAGCTACTCTCTGTTTTAAAGTCACAGCTGAGTTTGATAACTCATTGCAATGACCACACAGAATGTACAGACCGTATCTAAGGAAGAAGTTATTTTCGTTGAGAATATGTAATCAATGACCCCTAGGGGTATTTAGCCATAACTTCTTTTTTTGTTGTTGTATATATCTGTTGCTGCAAAAAATGTTTATCTAAATAAAGTTACATGGAAGCAGGATTGTGGAAAATTGATTCTGGGTTAAATGATGGTGTCCCTTGGCTTGAGGAACTCAGGATGAAGAAACCCCAAAATGTAATTAGGGGCAATTGAGGAATTCATGACATTAATACACCAAAATGGAGTCCTGGTGTGGCGCTGTGGGCTAATGAGTCAGACTGCAAAGTTGTTTGAACTGCAAGTTTGCTGCTTCAAGCTCACCAATTGCTCCTTGGAAACCCTATACAGGGTCACTATGGGTCGGAATCAACTTGACAGCACTTAACAACAACAACATACACCAAAATATAATGGTGGGACTTGGCATTAAATATTTCTTTTTTTAAAAAAAAACTAGACTACTCTCTGTCAATCTTTGTGCATGCAGGCAATCATATACATAGTTGTTAGGTGGCATCAAGTTGACTCCGACCCATAGCGACCCTGTATAGAGTTTCCAAGGAGCAACTCATAAGCTTGAACCACCGACCTTGTGATTCAAATGACTTTGCAGTCTGGAGCATTAACCCACAGTGCTACACCTGGACTCCTTAAAAAGTCCCTCTTCACATAACAAAGTCAATGCATAGGTTTTTAAAAAGAAAAGTGTAAATAATGTAATAATTAGGAAACCTGCAACATAATTGCAAAGAAAACATGCAGAAACCACTATGTATCTTGAAGTTAGAGACTTTGGTATATAATTTTATTTTACCTTCATGTGTAATAGCACAGAACTAAGCAAATAGGTGGCGATCCAAGAAGAAAAGAATTCTATTTATTGAATTCTATTTATGGTGAACTCTTTTTCTACTTCAAACTATAAAACAAAATCGCTTGAAAACTCAGAGTTCTGAATATATTAGGTATCTGCAAGATAGGCTAACAAGAAGGTAGCCCAGATGGCAACTCTGATAGTTTTCATTGATAGTGGTTTCTTATAATGCTGTTTTGAGAAATTAAGTTCAGCCCCAATGTAAAAAAAACCGCTGTGATGTATTAGCCATGAATGTGTTAGGCACAGAAGCAAAGAGTGGAGGTGTGTATAGATTGGCAGACAAGGATTTGGGATGTAGAAACCCCTTAAAAGCTTCTATCAGACAGAAAAGTGATTCCAACCCCCCACCCATTACTATAATTAGGCAACAAGTGACTATTATATACTTATATACTGAAGTGTATGAGAAATATTCTCTGATGTACATTAAAACCAAATTATGAAATAGGGAAATGCTGTTAAAATTACTTAAAAGAGAAACTTAAAACCATCACAGATTTTTGTATACAACCCATAATATCCAATAAAGAATACTTATTTGATTGTAAAATGAAGACCTATGACTTGGTTGAATTCTCTCTTCTTTACCATTCCCTTTCTTATATTAGTTTATTGACTGAGCACTTTGTACAATGTGTCATCAATGTGCTGGATGCTGAGATTCAGCTGGAGCTGTATGACTTCTGCATTCTTGGAGCTTACAGGGAAGCAGACATTAAGAATCCTTTCTTATAGCATTTCACAGGAGAGATCAATAGAACCTATGTAGCTTCATTGGTAGTTACACTCTCTGAGTATATCTTTAACTAAGAATGGCGTGGGTGCAGCGTCTAACTTCTGATTTCACCAGGGAGGAGGAGGAGAATTACCATCAGCCCAAGGTTGAGTCCTATGAGACAGAGTTCAGACATGCTTCCACCTTCCAACCTTCCTTACCAATTCTGACACCAACCTACCCTCCCACAGCACTCTCAACTTCTCGGCTGAATTTGATAACTCATTGCAATGGCCATATAAGATGTGCAGATGATAATCTAAGGAAGTAGTTATTTTTGCTAAATTTCAAATTCTTCATGTGTAAAAGAAGAGGACTGAACTGGATTAAATCTAAAGTACTATACAGTTTTATATATCTATGATTCTATTATACATTGCTGTTGTTAAATGCCGTGGTACTGATTCCAACTCATGGTGACCATGTATAGGGTTTCTGAGGAGTGTCTGGTGAGTTTGCACCACTGATCTTGTGGGCCAAACTGACCTTATGGTCAAGTGTTTGTCCTATAACACCACACCAGGACTCCTATTATATGTTAGGCATAATTATTCCTTTTAACATACATATTGAACATTGCATCAGACACTTAGGAGATACAGTGAAAAGCAACAAAGACACAATTAAAATAGAAGGCAAAACATTCTATAGTCCAAGAGTCCAATGGACACTCAGGCAAATCTTGCTTACTTTTCTTTTGGGTCTGAATCATGCATCTGGCTTGTCCTCCAACTTCTGGTTCTTTGGACTTGAGCCAGTGCCCTGCTCTATTATCTGCCTGCCTGCTTGCTTGCTTGTCTACCTGCCAGAACTGTATGTCTGCCTGCCTGCCTGCCTGTCTGTTTGCTGGACCTGCCTGCCTGCCAGACCTGCCTCCTGATTTTGATTCATCTGAACCAGACTTAGCACAATCCCAGCTCTCCAACTGTTAAGTCATTTCCTTGATATAAACTTCTCTTTATATCTAAACATACATAAGTTTCACTGGTTTTGCTTCTCTAGAAAATCCACCCTAAGACAAGTATTGATTGTGAATTCAAGCAAAATGAAGTCTTTAACAAATTTAATGTCTTCTCTAGTTATTATGATGTTATTTATTGGTTTTCTTGTGTGAGGATTTTCATTACCTTCACATGCAATCCATACTAAAGAGTGTAGTCTTCTGTAGGGTGGGCTAATAAAAACATCTAACTCCATGGGGTTTTGAGAATTAAATGAGTTAGTATATGTAAAGTACTTAAAAGACTTCTGACCTATAATCAATGCTTGGACTTGGAAGACTTTGGGGCTGATATGATGCTGACTCTTATTGTCAGACTACCACTTGTCTGTCAGTTTGTCAAACTGTGGTGGCTTGTGTGTTGCTTGTTGATTCTGGAAGCTATGCCACAGATATTTTAAATACCAGCTGGGCCACCCATGATGGACAAGTTTCATCTGAGCTTCCAGATGAAGACAGACTAGGAAGACAGAGAGATGGACTACTTATGAACATTTAGTTACTGAAAACTTTATGAATAGCAGTGGAACACTGTCAGCACCAGAATTCTGAATATTGAAACATGATGAAGAGTACCAGAATATTGTCAGATACAGTGCTGGAAGAAGAGCACCTCAGGCTGGAAGGCACTCAAAATGTGACTGGGAAAAAGCTACCTACTCAAAGTAGAGTTGACTGTGATGACGCAAATGGAGTAAACCCCTCAAAACCTTCATTTGCTGATAGGGCACAACACAAAATGAAGAGAACCAGCTGTAAACAACCATTAATAATCAAAATATGAAATGTAGGATGTATGAAACAAGGAAAATTGGGAACTGTCAAAAATGAAATGGAACACAAAAACATCATTATCCTAGGTATTAGTGAGCTGAAGTAGACTGGTTTTGGCCATTTTGAATCTGAAAATCACATGGTTTACTATGCAAGGAATGAAAAATTGAAGAGGAATGGTGTCACATTCCTCCAAAAGAGCATATCAAGATCTGTATTGAAGTACAATGCTGTTTGTAATAGGATAATATCCATATGCCTATAAGAAACACCAGTTAAAACCACTAATATTCAAATTTATGCAAAACCGATTAAAATCAGTGGTGATGAAATTGAAGAAATCAGAAACTTTTTCAGTCTGAAATTGATCCAACATGCAAGCAAGTTGTATCGATCATTACCGGTGATTGGAATGCAAAGGTTGGAAATAAAGAGGAAGGATCAGTAGTTGGAAAACATGGCCTTGGTGATAGAAATGATGCTGGAGATTGCATGATAGAATTTTGCAAGACCAATGACCTCTTCATTGCAAATATATTTTTTAAACAACAGAAAAATGATTATATACATAGGCCTTACCAGGCTGAATACAAAGAAATCAAATGGACTACATCCATGGAAAGATATGGTGGAGAAGTTCCAGACCATAAGTAACAACTAAATCAGGAGCAGATGGTGGACTAGACCCATCAATTGTCCATATGCAAGTTCAGACTGAAGGTGAAAAAAATGAAAACAAGTCTATGAGAGTCAAAATATGACAATAAATATATCCCACCTGAATTTAGATATTGTCTCAAGAATGGATTTGATGCTAAAGACTGAAGACCAGAAGAGTTATGGGATGACATCAAGAACATCACACAGGAAGAAAGCAAATGTTCATTAAGAAACAAGAAAGAAGGAAATGACCAAAATGAATATCAGCAGAGATTCTGAAAATTGCTCTCGAGCATGTTGTTGTTAGGTGCCATCGAGTCAGTACCGACTCATAGCTACCTTATGCA